ATGTACATGCCATGGTGCATGCTATGTACATGCCATGGTGCATGCTATGTGCATGCCATGGTGCATGCTATTGTGGCATGCCATGGTGCATGCTATGTACATGCCATGGTGCATGCTATGTACATGCCATGGTGCATGCTATGTACATGCCATGGTGCATGCTATGTACATGCCATGGTGCATGCTATGTACATGCCATGGTGCATGCTATGTACATGCCATGGTGCATGCTATGTACATGCCATGGTGCATGCTATGTACATGCCATGGTGCATGCTATGTACATGCCATGGTGCATGCTATGTACATGCCATGGTGCATGCTATGTACATGCCATGGTGCATGCTATGTACATGCCATGGTGCATGCTATGTACATGCCATGGTGCATGCTATGTACATGCCATGGTGCATGCTATGTACATGCCATGGTGCATGCTATGTACATGCCATGGTGCATGCTATGTACATGCCATGGTGCATGCTATTGTACATGCCATGGTGCATGCTATGTACATGCCATGGTGCATGCTATTGTACATGCCATGGTGCATGCTATGTACATGCCATGGTGCATGCTATTGTACATGCCATGGTGCATGCTATTGTACATGCCATGGTGCATGCTATTGTACATGCCATGGTGCATGCTATTGTACATGCCATGGTGCATGCTATTGTACATGCCATGGTGCATGCTATTGTACATGCCATGGTGCATGCTATGTACATGCCATGGTGCATGCTATGTACATGCCATGGTGCATGCTATGTACATGCCATGGTGCATGCTATGTACATGCCATGGTGCATGCTATGTACATGCCATGGTGCATGCTATGTACATGCCATGGTGCATGCTATGTACATGCCATGGTGCATGCTATGTACATGCCATGGTGCATGCTATGTACATGCCATGGTGCATGCTATGTACATGCCATGGTGCATGCTATGTACATGCCATGGTGCATGCTATGTACATGCCATGGTGCATGCTATGTACATGCCATGGTGCATGCTATGTACATGCCATGGTGCATGCTATGTACATGCCATGGTGCATGCTATGTACATGCCATGGTGCATGCTATGTACATGCCATGGTGCATGCTATGTACATGCCATGGTGCATGCTATGTACATGCCATGGTGCATGCTATGTACATGCCATGGTGCATGCTATGTACATGCCATGGTGCATGCTATGTACATGCCATGGTGCATGCTATGTACATGCCATGGTGCATGCTATGTACATGCCATGGTGCATGCTATGTACATGCCATGGTGCATGCTATGTACATGCCATGGTGCATGCTATGTACATGCCATGGTGCATGCTATGTACATGCCATGGTGCATGCTATGTACATGCCATGGTGCATGCTATGTACATGCCATGGTGCATGCTATGTACATGCCATGGTGCATGCTATGTACATGCCATGGTGCATGCTATGTACATGCCATGGTGCATGCTATGTACATGCCATGGTGCATGCTATGTACATGCCATGGTGCATGCTATGTACATGCCATGGTGCATGCTATGTACATGCCATGGTGCATGCTATGTACATGCCATGGTGCATGCTATGTACATGCCATGGTGCATGCTATGTACATGCCATGGTGCATGCTATGTACATGCCATGGTGCATGCTATGTACATGCCATGGTGCATGCTATGTACATGCCATGGTGCATGCTATGTACATGCCATGGTGCATGCTATGTACATGCCATGGTGCATGCTATGTACATGCCATGGTGCATGCTATGTACATGCCATGGTGCATGCTATGTACATGCCATGGTGCATGCTATGTACATGCCATGGTGCATGCTATGTACATGCCATGGTGCATGCTATGTACATGCCATGGTGCATGCTATGTACATGCCATGGTGCATGCTATGTACATGCCATGGTGCATGCTATGTACATGCCATGGTGCATGCTATGTACATGCCATGGTGCATGCTATGTACATGCCATGGTGCATGCTATGTACATGCCATGGTGCATGCTATGTACATGCCATGGTGCATGCTATGTACATGCCATGGTGCATGCTATGTACATGCCATGGTGCATGCTATGTACATGCCATGGTGCATGCTATGTACATGCCATGGTGCATGCTATGTACATGCCATGGTGCATGCTATGTACATGCCATGGTGCATGCTATGTACATGCCATGGTGCATGCTATGTACATGCCATGGTGCATGCTATGTACATGCCATGGTGCATGCTATGTACATGCCATGGTGCATGCTATGTACATGCCATGGTGCATGCTATGTACATGCCATGGTGCATGCTATTGTACATGCCATGGTGCATGCTATGTACATCATGGTGCATGCATGGTAGCATGCATGCCTATGTACATGCCATGGTGCATGCTATGTACATGCCATGGTGCATGCTATGTACATGCCATGGTGCATGCTATGTACATGCCATGCCATGGTGCATGCTATGTACATGCCATGGTGCATGCTATGTACATGCCATGGTGCATGCTATGTACATGCCATGGTGCATGCTATGTACATGCCATGGTGCATGCTATGTACATGCCATGGTGCATGCTATGTACATGCCATGGTGCATGCTATGTACATGCCATGGTGCATGCTATGTACATGCCATGGTGCATGCTATGTACATGCCATGGTGCATGCTATGTACATGCCATGGTGCATGCTATGTACATGCCATGGTGCATGCTATGTACATGCCATGGTGCATGCTATGTACATGCCATGGTGCATGCTATGTACATGCCATGGTGCATGCTATGTACATGCCATGGTGCATGCTATGTACATGCCATGGTGCATGCTATGTACATGCCATGGTGCATGCTATGTACATGCCATGGTGCATGCTATGTACATGCCATGGTGCATGCTATGTACATGCCATGGTGCATGCTATGTACATGCCATGGTGCATGCTATGTACATGCCATGGTGCATGCTATGTACATGCCATGGTGCATGCTATGTACATGCCATGGTGCATGCTATGTACATGCCATGGTGCATGCTATGTACATGCCATGGTGCATGCTATGTACATGCCATGGTGCATGCTATGTACATGCCATGGTGCATGCTATGTACATGCCATGGTGCATGCTATGTACATGCCATGGTGCATGCTATGTACATGCCATGGTGCATGCTATGTACATGCCATGGTGCATGCTATGTACATGCCATGGTGCATGCTATGTACATGCCATGGTGCATGCTATGTACATGCCATGGTGCATGCTATGTACATGCCATGGTGCATGCTATGTACATGCCATGGTGCATGCTATGTACATGCCATGGTGCATGCTATGTACATGCCATGGTGCATGCTATGTACATGCCATGGTGCATGCTATGTACATGCCATGGTGCATGCTATGTACATGCCATGGTGCATGCTATGTACATGCCATGGTGCATGCTATGTACATGCCATGGTGCATGCTATGTACATGCCATGGTGCATGCTATGTACATGCCATGGTGCATGCTATGTACATGCCATGGTGCATGCTATGTACATGCCATGGTGCATGCTATGTACATGCCATGGTGCATGCTATGTACATGCCATGGTGCATGCTATGTACATGCCATGGTGCATGCTATGTACATGCCATGGTGCATGCTATGTACATGCCATGGTGCATGCTATGTACATGCCATGGTGCATGCTATGTACATGCCATGGTGCATGCTATGTACATGCCATGGTGCATGCTATGTACATGCCATGGTGCATGCTATGTACATGCCATGGTGCATGCTATGTACATGCCATGGTGCATGCTATGTACATGCCATGGTGCATGCTATGTACATGCCATGGTGCATGCTATGTACATGCCATGGTGCATGCTATGTACATGCCATGGTGCATGCTATGTACATGCCATGGTGCATGCTATGTACATGCCATGGTGCATGCTATGTACATGCCATGGTGCATGCTATGTACATGCCATGGTGCATGCTATGTACATGCCATGGTGCATGCTATGTACATGCCATGGTGCATGCTATGTACATGCCATGGTGCATGCTATGTACATGCCATGGTGCATGCTATGTACATGCCATGGTGCATGCTATGTACATGCCATGGTGCATGCTATGTACATGCCATGGTGCATGCTATGTACATGCCATGGTGCATGCTATGTACATGCCATGGTGCATGCTATGTACATGCCATGGTGCATGCTATGTACATGCCATGGTGCATGCTATGTACATGCCATGGTGCATGCTATGTACATGCCATGGTGCATGCTATGTACATGCCATGGTGCATGCTATGTACATGCCATGGTGCATGCTATGTACATGCCATGGTGCATGCTATGTACATGCCATGGTGCATGCTATGTACATGCCATGGTGCATGCTATGTACATGCCATGGTGCATGCTATGTACATGCCATGGTGCATGCTATGTACATGCCATGGTGCATGCTATGTACATGCCATGGTGCATGCTATGTACATGCCATGGTGCATGCTATGTACATGCCATGGTGCATGCTATGTACATGCCATGGTGCATGCTATGTACATGCCATGGTGCATGCTATGTACATGCCATGGTGCATGCTATGTACATGCCATGGTGCATGCTATGTACATGCCATGGTGCATGCTATGTACATGCCATGGTGCATGCGTTGCAGGAGGAATGACATGCTTGCAACAGACTTGCCACTGGCACGTAGATACAGAAGCTGCAGGGAAGGTTATCTGTGTGTGCAGTTTCAGAATCTGATTCTTGTGGTGGTTGCAGCCATGCAGCAGGGCAGTGCAGCAGGGTAGCTCATATGCCAATACCAGCTGTGTGGTCCAACCTGCTGTGGTGCCCTTTCACTCTGTATGCAAACGCATCCATGGTAAGCAAGCATCACGCTCCTCCTCCTCTCTCCCTCTTGCTGTCGCCCTCCCTCACAGCATTCACTCCATTACGGATAACATGAAGCCCCCTGTGCTGCAAGGCTCCATGGCCGACCTCTCCTCTCTCGCCCCTCTCACTCGCCTCCAGCACCTGTACGCCCCACTTCCCCTTACCCCTCACTCATCCCTCCCCGCTTTCCCCTGCCTTCTCTCATCCCTGTCCACCTTCTTTTCGTGCTCTGCAAGCTCCTTGTCCGCTTCATTGCTCAGTAAACAATCCAACTCCATTGTTCAGGGAAACTCAGTAATCACATTCTCTCTCTCCTCCCCAGCATTCCCGAGTCCACTTCACCATTGTCTTTCATCCTCCCTCTTGCACCCACGCCTCTTTTCCTGTCATACTCAATCACGTCTCCTCAGCGCTCTCATGACTCTCAACCTGACGGCTGGAGAGCTCCCTTCCTCTCTCTCTGCCCTTACTTCACTCACAACCCTGTAAGCCCCTTTTTCCTGGTCGGGAGCACGCTGCTGCATCGTTTTCTCCCATGGGTTGGGCATGGTGGTTAATGGTTAAGAAGTACTCCCCCAAGCACAACCTTTACACTCTTGGCATCCTTGATGTGCTCTTGGTTAGCCCTAGGCATGTGGTTGTTTGTTGGATCATTGCATCGTATAGCAAAATGGACCTCTCCCAGAAAGGAGCAAACACGTGTCTCTTTTAGCAGCACATATGTTGCGAAATCGGACGCTTTTACCATTGCTTCCCATCGCTAACTAGCCCCGACCATCAGCCACCATTAGTCATCTCCATGGTTGAACGTTCAGCGGGTCTTGGCAGTGCCACACCCTCTCTCCCTCCTCTATTCTTCCCTCTCTCGCAGTGACCTGAGGTTCCTTTCCATCACCCGCTTACCGCAATGGATTGCATTGCTCCCCAACCTCATTACACTGTGAGTGCCGTGCCACCACAACGCCCTCATCCCACCCAGCTCGCATCCCCTCAAAAATGCTTCCCGCACCACCTGCACCTCGCTACAGTCTTGCCATATGCGCATTCACTCTCTGCTTGACTCTCGCTGCCAAAGCATTTCTTCCTAGTGCTTGATATGCCACCCGAAGAGCTCCCCAGGTGAGTGAGTTTTACCTCTTTTGATTGGAGTGCTTCTCTCTGCGTCGTCCCTGCCGGTCTGTACCATGCTGCTTTGCCCTGTGCCACGCATGGACTATGGCAGGCCAGGGCCGTGCATGATGGCTAGAGGGATAGAGTCGAGATGCACATTGATTCCACTTGCACTGCTCGCCCGCTGTGCCTTTCAAGCGATTGAAGTGACCCTTGTCTCCCGCATCCCCCTGTCCTTGACCGCGCTGTAGGGATGTCACCGGCAACTTTAATGTCCACCGCTCTGCTCCGTTCCCCACCGAATGGATGGCGCTCACAGGGCTGGAGACTCTGTGAGCCGTTTATCGCGTCATGAGCGCACAGCCTTGGGTTGACACCTTGAGCTGCTGAGCTCACCGTGTTGGTCTGAGATGCTCAGGCGACCATCCACAAACATTCATGCCATACATTGCCCACCAGCCACCAATGCTTTCCCCCGCCCGTCCGTTCTTCACATTGTTGAGATTGCTCAGTGGTCCGCATTGCATTGCCCTCTTCTTTGCCTGCCACCCATCACTGCGCCCTCCCCTCCTATCTCCCCTCCCCTCCCCTTCCACCTCCAGGCAGGCCGGTCTGAATGGCTTCACTGGCTCGATCCCCTCCACCATCTCCGACCTCACTGCCCTTGCTAATCTGTACGCCTCCTTTTCCACCCACTGCTCCCTCGCTTTCTCGCACTCCCCCTCGTCCCAACATATCTCTATTGGAGATGCAGTAGCCATAGAAAATGGGAAGACAAGACCACGAGATACGCAAATGGGCCAGGTTGTGAGGACAAGGCGGCGAGATTATTGCTCCCCTCTTACTTACACGTCATGTGAGGACCAACATGGAAAGGAGGTCACCTGAAATATTCACAGAATACAACGTTTTCTACAAATCGAATTCAACCCTGCACCTGCACGCGCATATCTTCGCTCTAAGCGAATGACCCATAGAGTCACTGCTTTGCTCCGTTCATATCACATAATCACACACACATGCATACCTCAGCCCCTCCTCACACGCCCTTGCCTCCACACAACACAGGGGGCTCTCCTTCAACAATCTCACCGGCGCCATTCCTGCCATCTTTGACACAACCCTCCAAACCTTGTGGGTCTTCAACGCCCCCCTCGCCTCGCGTGCACATATGAGTGGCTTGGATTGCAAATGCACCTCTGTGTTGCAAGTTGCATGCTAAGTTTTTACCAAACGGAATCAGGTGGCGGGGTCTTCTGGTAACATATGATGTCATATGGTGTTTCCGCGTCTGGCAGCTTTCTGCAGAGCAGTCAACCCTTCAGTCCCCCCTGTTAGTGTTAGCCCTCAATCTCACACTTAGTATTGTGCACTTTGTATATCCTAGCATTGTGTAGTTTGCACTTTGTGTTTGGTTGGGTGTACACCTACATCCCAACCGAACCCAAATGTAATCTCCAAGCAATCTCCAACCCACCAATTCGAGATTGTCTTGGGATTGCCCCCAATCCATAAAGATTGCTCCCAATTCCCCTCCCCATGTATTGCTTGCCCATCTTGGGTGTACTGAACTTCAAGCTCATTACTAATGCATCGGTTCTAAGCTTAAGTTGTGACACCCCCGGGCCCCTGCTGTTGCTTCTGCTTCAGTTGTGCATTTGTGGTTCGGTTACGTGGCAAGCCACTGTGTTGCGTTGTTCTTGGTAGCTTAAGAAGGGCATGGATCATACTGTCGCCCCAGCATGTTCTGAGAAGATCCATTCAGTCTTCCCAGACACCACATTGTCATGATGATGCCTCATGCGTCTTTTCTTTCACAGCCCTGCCTCGTGCTCCTCCGGATCAGAGCTGTTCCTAACCGCCCAGCTACCAAGCATGTGGCACCCACGCGTTCTCGCTCCTACCTCAGCGTGCATGTCTACTCCTCTCCTTCACACCCCGTCCTTTCTGCGTGCCCTAACTTCGTGCAGAGACCTCTCCCACAATCACCTCACCATCATTCCTACTGATTTGTGAGCCTTGAGTGGATTGATATCACGGGGGCGTGAGGGAGCGACAGGGAGTTAGGGAGAAAGCAGGGAAGAGGGGGAGAGGGGACGGGCAGTACACGAATTCACCACTCACTTGGCGATGAATGCACAAGGAGTCAACCCTCATTTGCCAGCGGTTGTACCGCCTAGTCTCCAATATTGGTGAGATTACCGCAGTGACAACATCTTTACTGGCCCCATCTGCTCCACGACTCCCTCGCTTCTTTACGTGTTTTGATCCATCCACTTGATTCAGGTGCTTGATTCACTTTCATATGTGACTTGCAATGCAAGTCACATTAGTTGACTCGAGTCACATCAATTGAAAGTCAGCCCTAACTCACAGGCTCAATCCTAATTATGATTGGAGCCTGTCGCTGCGTGAATCAATGCATACTCATTTCTCACCTGCATTCCATTGTGTTCCTCATTTTAGCAATACATTACCAGATCATATGAAAGCTTTCTGCATATCATCTTTCCGTGGCATCCATCAGAACATGGTGACTCCTGAGTGCCGAAATGCATTATCTTAACTGTGTTCTTTCCCAACTATATTATTCTCAGCAACCTGGGCCACAACGACTCGGAGCTATCCTTCCTCTTCAATCCCGTGTATAAAATGTGAGCTGTGAAGCAGCTACCTCTACTCTAGGTCATGCGCAAGTGAAGGGTCCATTCCTACTGAAGCCCAACCAGCGGATACACCACGCAAGCAGGCCCTGACGAAAATGGAGTTGGGTGGCAAGGAAGAATGATCCATCCACTCTACTACCACGACAAACACAAGATTGGTTGGTTCTTGTCTCCAAGGGCCTTCTGAAGTAAGGGCGAGGGGGTTCAGACAGACGTGCCCTCAAGACCATTGCAGCCCATCGGAGGTTGCAGCAACTGTCCCGTTCCCTAGCCTGCATCATTTGACCCACGTTGACGGGCTGGTGGCATGTTGAAAGGGGGCATGCCAGTCACCATGGCCGCCAGTAACTGCTTCAAGCACTGCTGGTCCTTGAGCTGCTGCAGTCGGTCCTTGGCTCACTATGGCATCAAGGCCGGCTGTTGACGTTGCTGATGCAATAGGGTCCAAAGCGTATGATGCACCTCCACTCCATCCGCCCTATCATGCATGCACTTGCATGGACATGCATGTACTTGCTCATGATAAGCCCCACCCTCATTTCTGAATCACAATAGGCTTAATGTCTCATATGATCTCTTGTACTCCCTTTCTGACCCTCTCTCTTTTCCACACCCAGTTCCTATCGCTGTCTTTGAATGTCTCTCACTTGCCCACATCCATTACAGTGACCAGGCTCGTCCTGCCCTCGTTCCATCCACCACTGCATGCCTCTTCCTTTCCACTTGTGCCTTCATCGCCAGTGCGTGCATGCCATGCTAACCACCTCTCGTGCCCTCCACAGAGACCTCAGCCACAATCCTCTGTCAGAAGGCTTGGATAAGCTTTTCACACAGTCGTGGCTTCTTGGAATAATACTGTAAGCAGTGGCACTCCAGAATCTATAAGAATCGGCTCGGCAGTGGTTCAACCAGGATTGTTTTGAAGTCTTGTTTTCATGTCACAGCTGTCTACTGTTGTCCCTCACTTGCCTCATCCCAAAGTCTACTGTTGTCTCCTTTCATTTCCTCCCTTCACTGGCTTGTCCACTCTCCTTCGCATACCCCAATCCTAAGATATGCCGGATCATGCAACTTCTCAGGACCATTTCCGTCCTATCCCGGCAAAACGTTCTATGTTCTGTACGTTTCTTATGGAACTTGAATGCAAGAGTTGATCCCATAGTTGTTTTAAACAATATGGTTTAAAACATCGGGCTATGAACTTGTGTTTGGTTCTCTGTATTTCCATGTTGCAACACTCGATTGATCAGCGATCGGTAGAGACAATGGAGTCTCCTCTCTTGTGTTCTCTGAAATTTCAAGCTTCAACCACGAAATGGCTGATTAAGATTGTATGGTAGCTCATTTATATCATTCTGTTATTTTACATTTGCCCTTTTCACCACAGTGACGTGTCTAACAACAGCTTCACTGGACCCTTCCCCTCCGTTTTCTTGAATGAGGAAGACATTGCAGAAATGTAATGCGATCCTGATCTCACCATGTTTCACAGAAGTCTTCCCTCCCAATCATGTACCTGTGCCATGCGTACACATGGCAACGACCTGTTTTCTTTTGCGTGCAGTCGTCTCCCTTCATTCCATCCAAGCATACCCTCCATTGGGTGCAGCAATCTCTCACACAACAATTTCACGGGACCCCTGCCACCAGATTTAGCTAACTCCTATTTCTTTCAAACCCTGTAAGTGGTTCTATCCACAACATTTGTTGTCAAGATTGAGTTAATGGCTCTTTGTGCCAGATTTAACGTCCTATCCTTCTCCATCCTTTCCCATGTGGTTTACCTGTGCCAACAGCAACGTTTCTTACAACCATTTCAATGGCGTTGTTCCTCGCGGCATTTGGGCCCTTGAGTTCCTGACGTCCCTGTGAGTTCCTCACGTCCCTGTGAGTTCCTGACGTCCCTGTGAGTTCCTGACGTCCCTGTGAGTTCCTGACGTCCCTGTGAGTTCCTGACGTCCCTGTGAGTGCCTGACGACCCTGTGAGTTCCCCCGCTCATCCTGCTACATGTTCGTCAGCTTATGAGAGTAGGGCAAGGAGCGGCACATGAACCAAAGTGAATTCAATAGCACCATGTGTTATCGGCTGCTAAACATACAGGCCGCAGGATCTCGTAGGTCAAGCCCACTGCTCACATGAGTTTAGTAAGAAGGGAGGCCCTTACACAGCATGCAGCTACGTGTGAGGCTTTTCAAAAAAAGGGAATTTGTTACATAGTATGGTGCCTCGTTTGAGGCTCAAAGTCCCTACATCACGTGGAGCAACGTTTGGGCCACCCTTGAAGTACCTTGCAATAGCATGGAACAACGTGCGAGGCGCGTTTAAGGAAAAAGGCTCTTTAAGAACACGGAGCTAACTTCGAGGCGTCTCAAAGGAAGAGAGTCCGTTACATAGTATAGTGCCATATTCAAGGCATTCTAAACTGAGGGAGTCCCTTACACATCATGGAATGGAGCCTTTGAGATTGGGTACACTGTCAGCATGCTCTACGGTGCTAGTGAGCATGGGTAGCAGGGTGAACAACAAGAGAGGTTCGAGAGCGAATTTGAATATATTCGGGGGACAGAGAAGGTGGTTGAAGTGGGCCAACACCATTGCTTATGAGCACGGTTGGAGTTGAAGGGGCATATTAGTATGAGGTGTTTGTGTTGTCTATTGTGCCATGTGGTGTCACTTGTTCCATTCCGTGTGCGAGGTACTGTGCAATGTTGTTCCATGGTTTGCCACGCTGCTCCCTTGGAGGTAGGGAGCACAGCATGTCAGTAGAATGGCGTGAATACACCTGCCACTGGATGGCGCATGCGGTCAGGAATCTGAGGTGGATAATCACGGAGCATGCTGTCCCCGCATGCATTTTGACATTCCACGGATTGCCTCGCTCTTCATTGCAGCATGTTGCCTGCGCATTTCCATATATTTGTTTCTTTCCACCATCGTCCACGTGCTCTCTCCAGCTCCATGGCTCACAATCATCTCCAGGGGCCTCTTCCTGCTGCCCTCTTATCTAATCAACTCGTCTCTCTGTAAGTGTGCCTTGGTGTCGTTGTCTCGTGGAATAGGAGAGAAGCGTGTGCTAGAAGATATGCGCCCATTGTGCCTTCTAATTTTTGTCATTTTTTCAAAGAGGAGTTGTTGTATACGTGCAAGAATTTTCATTCCATATTGGCGTTGCTAGTCATTCCACCATCCCTATCCCATGCATGTCTCCATGCAGTGAGCTGCAAGGCAATGCATTCTCTGGCCCTCTTCCTGACTTTGCTTCATGGGAAACCGAATCGCTACAAGTGCTGTGAGATCACCACCTTCTTATTATTCCTGGCCTCTTGATCATCTCTGCACTTTATGTTCCGCTTGCAACCATCAGACGCGTTTCTTGTCACTGCCTCGTGGAACAGGGGAGGGGCACGTGCTTGTTTTTCTAAGTCAAAATGAAAACCACCCTTGTCTACGTGTGACCATTCCCATTCGCTATTGTAGACATTTCTAAACAATCCTCCATCCCTATCCAATGCAACTCTTGCCTCCACACAGTGAGCTGCAAGGCAATGCATTCTCTGGCCATCTCCCTGAGTTTGCGTCCTGGAAAATTCGATTGCTACAAGTGCTGTGAGATCAACGCATGGTTCTTTTTTTTTCAGGGCGACTTAATCATCTCTGTGCTCCATGCTCCACTTGCATTCATAAGATGTTTTCTCCACCATTTGAGAATGACACGTCCTAACTAATGGCCACGTGGTTTCACTTCGCATGGCTCGCGGTGTTTCATGAACACCAGTCAATACGAGTTGTGACACGTTGCCATAGATCTTCATCCCATCTTCTCTTCCCACCATCTCTCCTCTTCCAGCCTTCAACAACCACCCACCACCACCATACCCCCAGCGATGTGAGCGACAACCAGCTCAATGGCTCCCTCCCTGACTCCATCTCTTGCCTTGAATCGCTGCAGCACCTGTGAGCTGCAAACATCGTGAGATGCGGAAATGATGTTGTGAAGCAGGGATGCTTTTTGAGGAGTCACGGATTCTAACCTTGAAGCATGCGGGGTGCGTTGAGCAGGCACATTCTGTTCCCTTGAAGCACGGGTGCTAGGAAGTTCCGTTCCGTGCACCTGTATTCTGGGCCAAACATTGGCAGCACTACCTGGGGTGACAGTTACTACTGCGAAACGGTCTGCTGCTGCATTCTACACTTACCAAGGACTTCCACAGTTATCATGGCAACACCTGTTTGCTGCCATGCACATGGTGGCATGGCATGGCATGACACGGTCTGGCGTTACATGGCATGACATGGCATGTTATGGCAGGAGCCTTGGAGGCAACAACTTGACAGGCCCCTTGAATGCGACCCTGGGTAGCCTTGTCAATCTGAGGTCCCTGTAAGTACCACAACCTGTCCCCTTCAGCGTCTACAAGCCCAAGTGTGAGATCTCTCCTTGCACTCCGCTTACATCTGCCATTTTTCCTATCTCCCTGCCTCAATCAGAAATTCTTCGTAAACCTACTCGGATACATGTTTTTTTTCAAACTTCCTACCAGAAGTGACTTCTGGGTCAATGGCCTTTCAGTGGTGCCGTGCTTTCTTTGCCTTCTTCAGTCACACAGTGTTTCCTCCCTCCTCTCATTGTCCTCTAACCATTGCCCCCAGGAACGTCTCGGGCTCGGGGCTGACCTGTCCTCCAGACGGCAGCAAGTGCCTGGTGAAGCAGAGGAACACCACCAGCTTCTGCCGCCTCTGCTTCTCCTTCTGCTCCTCCTGCACCCCCCTTGCTTGTAAGTCTCCATGCCACCTTGACTGCGTACATACGAACAGAGCGCAATGCCATGCCGACTCCAAGAGTTCTTGTGCCAAACGACATGATAGCTGGATACAGAAAGGTATGCTGCACAAGATGATCTGATATTGAACACCCGTCCAATCCCTATATGCACCCCACATTTCAGGGTCAGCCCTCACAGGAGCACCAGCATCAGTTGCAGCACCAGCATCAGTTGCAGCACCAGCATCAGTTGCAGCACCAGCATCAGTTGCAGCACCGGCATCAGTTGCAGCACCGGCATCAGTTGCAGCACCGGCATCAGTTGCTGCACTGGCATCAGTTGCCGCACCGGCATCCGTTGCAGCACTGGCATCAGTTGCAGCACCGGCATCCGTTGCAGCACCAGCATCAGTTGAACGCAAGACACCACCGGCATCTGGCCCTCGCATGCTCATTGGTGCTGCAATCAACCTCTCTCGTGTTGCTGCCGTTGCCACCCTCTTGCTCCTGATGTTCGGAATGTGATGCAAACGAAGTGTTCTCACAATTCGTCAAACGAGACATAAGTGGAGGGGTGAAGAAACGCCATGTACATGTTTGTAAATAGCGAGAGGACCTATAGTACACGAACGGGGCTGGAGAGCTGGATGTCGTTTTAGAAACACCAGAGGCATCGGAGGTTCCGCTGATCTCAGCAGGAAGGCGACAGGCAGGGGTGCACGAAGGGTAATGCCAGCGAGAAACCTGAAGGAAGTGGGTGGCGGCAGAGTGGGAATTGGCCACACTTAGTAATGGCAGAGGCCTTGGACAAGAGTGTCAAGGGGGATGGTGGGGAAAGACGAGAATAGGAGTGAGTGAGGGAGTCAGTGTACATGTCGAGTGGGGAAAGAGGAAGAGCTGTTTGGGAAGCTCAAGGGGTGCAAGGAGAGGAGCCAGTGGCGGTGAGGCAGTGAAACGGGTGGGCGGTAACAAGGCAGAGACGCCAAGGGTTGGTACCATAACTCCACGAAGGTGCTGAGTTGGCATGACATTATGGTATGAGCATGTATGTTTGCTTTCTCGTAACCAGCAGACACCGAGCCCAAGCCACCTGGAAGAGTCTGCCGAGCAGCTGGAGGGAATGTGAGGGTCGGATCTGAGTGGCCATGTGCTCTTCTCTTTAGGGCCGAGCTTAAGCCATGGGTAGGAAGGTAGAATACCGTAAGATGATTGGGCCATGGGACTGCACTGTTCTATTGTTTTACTGGTAGGTTTACCTTGCTCGTACGGAGTTACATTCAAGGCCATAACAAACAGTGAAGGAAGTAGACAAGGAAAAGTTCTTATACACAAACCATGCGACTGAGAACGGGGGCATGTGGTGAGAGAGGTTATGCCAGGAAAGAAAGGCAAGGGGTGCTTCCGAGAGCAAGGCTCAGCGAACGTCATGACTGGAGGAGAAGACGCGACACTCAGTGAGGAAAGACGCCCAAACGATGGCAGCATCGGAGATGGGCAAGGAGGCGCTGGTAACGGAAAGAATGGCCCAGGAAACAACGAGAGCTGGTGAGGAGACCCATGGTGGAGGACAGACAGACACGGTGGGAGATATCAGCGCAGCGCATCATGTCAAGGTTTGGAGGAGGAGGTGTCGGCTACACCCAGCTGTCTAAGGTAGAAGTTCTTGATCCATTCTATGGAGACGTCCACAAGGGTTCGTCGTTAAAGAACTACATGGTGCATCTTGAGAATCTGCAGGCGTGTTGGTTTAAGAATCGGCTTGATACCGAAGAGTTCTAAAGGGGCTTGGCAACCAACTTCACGGGGAAGCTGAGGCCTACTATTCTCACGCAAATAGCTGTTATAGTCACAATGGGCTCAAATGCGCATAAAATAGAAAGGAGGAGCGCAAAGACGAATTTCTACCGAGCGGCTTTAGAACCTGCTAGCGGAATGGTCACCGCACTAAATCACGTGCTATATAAATTGGATATGGAGTGTTTTAAGGTCGTCTACAATGGGCAAGCTTAATCACTCGGATTTGATAAAGAACTGGCGACGTGAGAGTTATTAATTAGTTCGGTCAAACTACTCTCATCCGAATTTGTGAATGATAATTTGACATCAGACTTATCATTATCACACTATTATAAACATAAAATATTTGATCCACACTCACACCGCACCATGAAGAGATTTCTCTACTATCGGTCAAGCTCTACGGAATGCTGTCTCTGCAGCGACGCAAACTTTGTTGTTCACTAAGGAAAAAATTTGGTTAAGTCTTAAAAAGGCACAGAGTTGGCACACAAAGAAATTCACTAGAATAGAATGAAAGATAGAATACAAGGGGTAAAAGAACTACCCAACCACTGAACCTAACAAGAGAACGTTCATACAAGAACGTTTAGATAACTACCACTTATCTGCGCTTTGCCAGGTCAGCATCGGCAGGTGAAAATTACAACACATGCTTAGTTTGTAATATTTAGAAAGCTTGCTTTCTTGTGTTTGCAATGGCAACGAGCTTCGTTTCAAATGGGCATTACATCATTCTCGTCCGGGCTAAATATGGTACCTACATTACACATGACAACATGCAATTTTTGCTAGGGTGGGTGGGTGGGAAATAAGACATTTGAAATTTCAAACGAAGACGTGGGTGGAGGCCAAATGGCCTCCACCCCCTGCTATATAGTTGGCGAAGAGCGTCTAGCACTTCGCCGTTGCCATTGCTGCATTACAAGCAGCTTCGCTTTCAAAATACACATTTTTAGAAAGTGTTACACACTTTCAAAAAAATTCATTTTTACCTACCTAAAAGTAGTTACTTTAACTGTTCAGGTTGTTTTAAACAACTTCTGTAACGCACGTTTTCGTAGTTACGAAAACGTGCGCCAGGTTCAGATTGTGCAGGTGGTTCAATCCGCCCCAGATTGAACACCCCAGTTCCGCGCACTGTTCCCCGGGGTCAGTTTCTCAATGTCCCGCAATGTTCCGAAATTCCTACGCAAAAGTTCCGAAACGATCGCCGGTCGCAATGTTTTGCGTCGGAAGGGTTCGTCGGTCGAGACCACGCTCTTCTGCAGAAATTCGCTTCTGCAGTTGCGCCTTCCTCTGCAGACCCGATTTCTTCAGATGCGTGACCCTCTGCAGCGGAAATTACATCTGCGAACTTCCCTGCATAACTCCGCGTCGACCTCTGCAGAAATTGATTCGGCAGATTTTTCCCTCCCCTGCAGAAAGCGACGACCACCTTCTGCAGGGTCGGTGCAATCTCAACAAATGTCATTAGAGGAGTTGCTCACATCGGGAAGGCGCGAGCTTCGTGCGCTCCTCCTGGTTTCATTTGGTCAACGCAAATTCAAGTTGGCGACGCGCGACGGACGGACGACGGCTCGCCGCGACGAGCGCCGCCGGCGGCGACGAAGCTCGCGACGGGCCGCGGCGCGATGGGCCGTTGGTTGCGAGAATGCTGCTAGTGCGGCCGCCTCGCAGGGTGGTGGTGGTGGTAGGGGCAGTGACAGTGGTACCACTGACTATTAAGGGAGAGATTATTAGCACGAGGAGCAGGAGCATGATGCAGCGCATAAAACGGTGTGCGTAGCGAGGGGCCATCGTAAGCGGCGAGTTTCGCGACATGATCAATGCTGTGTCGAAGAAAAAGGCCCCGCCCTCGCTTGGGCGCAACCGATCTCGCCGTCGACGAAAAGTTCTCGACGGATTGGCCGACGAAATGGGCTTTTGCAGTTTGACGGAAGTTGCGGTCGAGCAGGCTCTGCTCGACAGAATCTGGTCGACAAACTCTGCGCGACGAGCTCTTGTCGACGATCTCTGCGCGACGAGCTCTCGTCGAAGAGCGCTGGTCGACGATCCTGGTCGAAGAACTCTGGTCAAAGAGTTCGGGTCGAGGAGCTCTGTTTGGCGAACATTGTTCGACCGATCGATGTCGAGCTGATCAACCGAAGTTGCAGAGTTGTGCGAAACTCTGCGGAGGCGTGCAAACTTTTGCCCAGGAGGTTTTGGCGAAGTTCTACGTGGGAACGGCATCACGTGGTCGACGGTGCGCACCTGGCAAAACCGACAACACGTTTCCTACCTGGAACCTGCGCAATGTGCCTGACGGTGAAACCGTCGACCTGCACCTACTTGGTAGGTGCGCACATCTGCGCAGATAGACAACCTGCGACTGCAGATAGTCACATGCGACTGCAGTGCTGGCAGACCGCGCGTGGTGCAACGCCGCCAGACTACTCTGCTGCAGCATTGGCAAGCCACGCTTCTGCTGCGCTGGCAGGTTTCGGCCTTGCTAGGTGTTGCATGCCATTCCAATCCTTTTGTTCTACATGCCTCAATTGTACAATCAAGTTTTCATTGCAAATTGTTCTTTCAACTTCCTTAGTGGAATTCTCGCCAAACTTCTCTGTGAACACATGCAAGTAGCAAAACGTTAGTGCAGCGCTACGATCACTTGCACAACCCCGTGCCCTCCTCCGTAGTCCACTCCTGTTGTGTAGTGACTTTCCCCATGGTGCGGTGAGCGTGGTGGGCCCCGCGTCAGAACCTTCAGATTAGCTGACATTTGCGTTCATTACCTAAGTTGTTTTAGGCCGGCAGCCTTCTAGACCGCCATGGTCGACCAGGAGGTAGCTGCAGGTGTAGAAGACACCCTGCAGGCGTGATTAGATGACGTTCGGGCACGCCACGCAGCTGGCGAGTACGGTGGAGCGAACTTGGATGTTCTGCTTTTTAGAACCCGCGTGCAGTGGGCGTGCGATCACCCAAGTCGCATTGAAGCCGAGCAGACTTTGGGTGGATGCTGGCTACCAAGCGTGGCAGTACATCATGCGCACATACAAGGCGAGCGACGACCTCTACATCGGCCAACTGGAGCAGAGGTTGAACATCAAGATGGGCGAGCAGGAGTCGGCGACTGAGTACTGCAACCGTGCTCGGCGAACTTTGGCCGAACTGCGGATGTCTGGCGTCGACTACTCTACAGCGTCCTACATTACGCACATCCTCAAGGGTCTG